ACACACACACACACACACACACACACAAATACACATGCATACATGTAACCACATGCACGCACACATACAAGTAATGCACACGCCCCCTATCTGCACTGAGAATTAAGAAGAAGCACAGCTCTGGGACCAAAGGAACTTCTCCTCCTCTGTGTTTTACAGCACGGGCATCGAGGTCGGCGTTTGGAGGGCAGCCACTCGAAAACAGCATGAAGAGGGTGTGATGGGTCTTTAATGATTTTCTGTGCTAAACTTCCTGTATGCTGGTCACATTGAGAAGTTAAGCTTCGCAGTGGTAGTCCAATGATCCGAGAGCACACCTCGACGGTGCTCTGTAGACGGTTTCTATACTGCAGACTGACAGAATAAAACCAACAGGGGATGGAAGATGTGATAACACTCTCTATAAAATAATAATAGAAAGTCAGTAAAATGTCCTTCCTGACTCCAAATGAATTCAACTTCCTCAGGAGGTAGAGTCGCTGCTGGCACTTTCTGAGAATGTCCTCGGTGTTGGAAGCGAATTTCAGGAGGTGTTCAAAGGTGGTCCCTAGATATTTATACTCTTCAACCAGCTCCACTGGCTGTCCATGAATGATGGTGGAGGCAGCGGTAACCAGCGCTCTCTGTTTGTTTGAGAAGGACACCACCATCTCCTTGGTTTTGGTCACATTCAGCTCCAGGCCTGCAGTGTCACACCAGTCCACAAACTCCTGCAGGACCTGCCCGTGGTAAACAGTAGGGCCTGACAGAAGAGACAGGAGCACAGTGTCATCAGCGTATTTTACCATGTAACTGTCAGGCTGGATGGATCTACAGTCATCTGTGTAGAGAATGAAGAGTAGAGGAGACAACACGCAGCCCTGTGGGGTGCCAGTGGAGGTGTAAAGAAGGTCTGAGAGAGTGTTGTTAACCAGAACTCTTTGTGAGACCGAAGAGAGGATGGGTCTGTCTGGATGTGGACTGGACATTCCCTGATGATCATTTATTAAATGCAGGGCCGGTGCTAGCCATTTAGGTGCCCTAAGAACAAATGCTCTGTGGTGCCACCACCCCCACCCTTCAAAAAAAAAAAAAAACGATCCATGCAACAGTGTGTGTCAGTGCATCTCTTTATCTCCAAAATAGCTTCATTATTAATTTAAGTTGAACTAAAATGATAAATTGAAATCTTAATAAAGAGCCCTCTACGGGAGCCCAAGGCACTAATCACAGCACATCAAAAATAACTAGAATGCATGAATACCTAGGTAGGTAGGTTGGTAGGTGGGTAGGTAGGTAGGTGGGTGGGTGGGTAGGTAGGTAGGTGGGTACGTAGATAGGTAGGTAGGTAGGTAGGTAGGTAGGTGGGTACGTAGATAGGTAGGTAGGTAGGTAGGTGGGTGGGTGGGTAGGTTGGTAGGTGGGTACGTAGATAGGTAGGTAGGTAGGTAGGTAGGTAGGTGGGTACATAGGTAGGTAGATAGGTAGGTGGGTGGGTGGGTAGGTAGGTAGGTAGGTAGGTAGGTGGGTACGTAGGTAGGTGGGTGGGTGGGTAGGTAGGTACGTAGGTAGGTAGGTAGGTAGGTAGGTAGGTAGGTAGGTGGGTGGGTGGGTAGGTAGGTAGGTAGGTAGGTAGGTGGGTGGGTGGGTAGGTACGTAGGTAGGTAGGTAGGTAGGTGGGTGGGTGGGTAGGTAGGTAGGTAGGTAGGTAGGTGGGTACGTAGGTAGGTGGGTGGGTGGGTAGGTAGGTACGTAGGTAGGTAGGTAGGTAGGTAGGTAGGTAGGTGGGTGGGTGGGTAGGTAGGTAGGTAGGTAGGTAGGTAGGTAGGTAGGTAGGTGGGTGGGTGGGTGGGTAGGTAGGTAGGTGGGTACGTAGGTAGGTAGGTAGGTTGGTAGGTAGGTAGGTAGGTAGGTAGGTGGGTGGCTGGGTAGGTAGGTAGGTAGGTAGGTAGGTGGGTACGTAGGTAGGTAGGTAGGTAGGTAGGTAAGTAGGTGGGTGGGTAGGTGGGTACGTAGATAGGTAGGTAGGTAGGTAGGTAGGTAGGTAGGTGGGTGGGTAGGTGGGTACGTAGATAGGTAGGTAGGTAGGTAGGTAGGTGGGTGGGTGGGTGGGTAGGTAGGTAGGTAGGTAGGTGGGTGGGTGGGTGGGTAGGTAGGTAGGTGGGTGGGTGGGTAGGTAGGTAGGTAGGTGGGTACATAGGTAGGTAGGTAGGTTGGTAGGTAGGTAGGTAGGTAGGTGGGTAGGTAGGTAGGTAGGTGGGTGGGTGGGTAGGTAGGTAGGTAGGTAGGTAGGTAGGTAGGTGGGTACGTAGGTAGGTAGGTAGGTAGGTAGGTGGGTGGGTAGGTGGGTACGTAGATAGGTAGGTAGGTAGGTAGGTAGGTGGGTGGGTACATAGGTAGGTAGGTAGGTAGGTAGGTAGGTAGGTAGGTGGGTGGGTGGGTAGGTAGGTAGGTAGGTAGGTGGGTACGTAGGTAGGTAGGTAGGTAGGTAGGTAGGTGGGTGGGTACGTAGATAGGTAGGTAGGTAGGTAGGTAGGTAGGTAGGTAGGTGGGTACATAGGTAGGTAGGTAGGTAGGTAGGTGTGTGGGTAGGTAGGTAGGTAGGTAGGTGGGTGGGTGGGTAGGTAGGTAGGTAGGTAGGTAGGTAGGTAGGTGGGTGGGTGGGTGGGTGGGTAGGTAGGTAGGTGGGTACGTAGGTAGGTAGGTAGGTAGGTAGGTAGGTGGGTGGGTGGGTAGGTAGGTAGGTAGGTAGGTAGGTGGGTGGGTGGGTGGGTAGGTAGGTAGGTAGGTGGGTACGTAGGTAGGTAGGTAGGTAGGTAGGTAGGTGTGTGGGTAGGTAGGTAGGTAGGTAGGTAGGTAGGTAGGTGTGTGGGTAGGTAGGTAGGTATGTAGGTAGGTGGGTAGGTAGGTGTGTGGGTAGGTAGGTAGGTAGGTGGGTGGGTGGGTGGGTAGGTAGGTAGGTGGGTACGTAGATAGGTAGGTAGGTGGGTGGGTGGGTGGGTAGGTAGGTAGGTAGGTGGGTACGTAGGTAGGTAGGTAGGTAGGTAGGTGGGTACGTAGGTAGGTAGGTAGGTAGGTAGGTGGGTACGTAGGTAGGTAGGTAGGTGTGTGGGTAGGTAGGTAGGTAGGTAGGTAGGTGTGTGGGTAGGTAGGTAGGTACGTAGGTAGGTGGGTAGGTAGGTGTGTGGGTAGGTAGGTAGGTAGGTAGGTGGGTGGGTGGGTGGGTAGGTAGGTAGGTGGGTACGTAGATAGGTGGGTAGGTAGGTGTGTGGGTAGGTAGGTAGGTAGGTGGGTGGGTGTGTGGGTGGGTTGGTGGGTACGTAGGTAGGAACGTAGGTAGGTAGGTAGGTAGGTGGGTACGTAGGTAGGTGGGTAGGTAGGTAGGTACGTAGGTAGGTGGGTAGGTAGGTAGGTAGGTGGGTGGGTGTGTGGGTGGGTAGGTGGGTAGGTAGGTGTGTGGGTAGGTAGGTGGGTACGTAGGTAGGAACGTAGGTAGGTAGGTAGGTAGGTGGGTACGTAGGTAGGTGGGTAGGTAGGTAGGTAGGTAGGTAGGTGGGTACGTAGGTAGGTAGGTAGGTAGGTAGGTGGGTACGTAGGTAGGTAGGTAGGTGTGTGGGTAGGTAGGTAGGTAGGTAGGTAGGTACGTAGGTAGGTGGGTAGGTAGGTGTGTGGGTAGGTAGGTAGGTAGGTAGGTGGGTGGGTGGGTGGGTAGGTAGGTAGGTGGGTACGTAGATAGGTGGGTAGGTAGGTGTGTGGGTAGGTAGGTAGGTAGGTGGGTGGGTGTGTGGGTGGGTAGGTGGGTACGTAGGTAGGAACGTAGGTAGGTAGGTAGGTAGGTGGGTACGTAGGTAGGTGGGTACGTAGGTAGGTGGGTAGGTAGGTAGGTACGTAGGTAGGTGGGTAGGTAGGTAGGTAGGTGGGTGGGTGTGTGGGTGGGTAGGTGGGTAGGTAGGTGTGTGGGTAGGTAGGTGGGTACGTAGGTAGGAACGTAGGTAGGTAGGTAGGTAGGTGGGTAAGTAGGTAGGTGGGTAGGTAGGTAGGTACGTAGGTAGGTGGGTGGGTAGGTAGGCATTCATGTGTTCTAGTTTTTTATGTGCTGTGATTAGTGTCTTGGGCTCCCGTAGAGGGTTGTGGAAGGCCCTTTATGAATAAATCCTTGATTGATTGATTGATGATTGATTGATTGATTTCGGAATATTAGATTATTAATTAAGACCAATGCAATAAAAGGAACTTCAGAAAAGTTGGCCAAATGAAAAGTAGGAGCGTGTACAGCCCTCCGTATTCAGTTGGGCTCCTTTGGCCTGGGTTAATACAGCATTCTCTAGCAGGCATGTTGTTTTTGCTAGAGTCCTTCTGTCTCTCACCTCCTGCACTAGGTCGAGGGGACATCCTAGGACAGAGCTGGCCTTCTTAAGGAGCTTATCCAAACTCTGTCTCTCAGCAGCAGATGAGCTGCTGCCCCAACAAAGCACACCATCAAAGATGGCTGATGCCACCACTGAGTCAGAGAAGGACTTTAAGAGGCAGGTAGAGACTCTGACCCTTCCTGAGAAGGGCATCCAGGCCAATTTATTGTTCAGGTGAACACCCTGGTAACTAGAAACTAACTGAGTTGCTGTGGGGAGACCTTCAGAGAAATGTAGTAAACAAGCTACAGATCAGTTCAACTATATTTCCTCCTGATTGAGACTCCCCATCCCTCCTAGTCTCTGTACCATCCAATCACACCATCGTCATAACAACTACTTCATCCTCTATCCGGGCGCCAATCAGCCTCCTGCTATGGATTGTAAAAATGTGAATTTGTTATGATGATTGGAACTAATCCTGTAGAGGTAGGCCCCCTTTGAGCCAATCAGGATGTAAGCCTTCTGCTGGTTCTGACCCCATTACAGCACGTCCTGCTGAGAAATCCCAAGCTATTTTCTGAAGGCATTGTTAGTGAAGTGGCTTGTCCCTCAGAAACCGTGTCGTTTATCTGATCTAGCAGATGTTAACATCTGTCCTCTATGTCCCAGTGCTCGTACGTCCCTCCCTGTGAGAGGGACAACCAGAAGAACATAGACAGCGTTCTGAGGTGGGAGGAGAACTTCACCAACGAGGTCAACACTCAGTTCTTCACCTGCTACTTCAACCAGCAGAGGAGGTGAGCCACACACACACACACACACACACACACACACACACACACACACACACACACACACACACACACACACACACACACACACACACACACACACACACACTCGTTTCCTGAACTTTGACCCCACTGACCTCTGCTGATGACCAGCTCATCTGGTCCGACCTGTGAAACAGAACCAGTCAGCAGCGGTACCAGTCTGAGGAGATGAGAGGAGCTTCTGCTGCTGCACACCCAGCTGGTGCTCACCTGTGACCTTTTATTTTTATCCCTGCACCACAGAGAGGAGCCTGCTCCGTACGAGGAGTCCACCGGGAACTCGTTTACAGGGAAAACTGGAACACATCCCTGCCAAAGTTAGAGGAAATACTGAAAGTTTTTCTAAAGATCTCAACTTGGGTCTGAGCACGTTTCCCAACAAGAACAGGAGTCCTCGTCAGCTCCGAGCCAACAACGCACCGTTGTTACACAAGGGGGGGGGGGGGGGGGGGGGGGCATCTGAGGAGCAGCTTGGTTGACGAGTCAGGATCCGGTCTCCATGATCAGGACGTTCACCATGACGGGATGTTTCAGATGTGATTCAGTTTCGGACTAAACGTTTCTATCATCGGTTGCCATCAGTGTGGAGAGCGTTTCGTGCTGCAGATAAACGCCTCCTGTTGCACCTTTAAACGGAAGGAGCAGCTCATCGAGCTCCAGCGGCCCCTTTAGTCAGTCTGACGTTGGTGTTTGAGGAGGCATTGTTGAACAGCTGATTTGTGAACACACACTTTTGGGTTCATTCCAGATCCGTTTGTTGCCAGTTTGCTTTTCTTTTTTTATGATTTTCAAACAGAAAATAAAAACAAGTGAAGTTGTTCCCTCTCTGCAGAAGCAGAGCAGGTCTACGGTGAGAGAATAGGGACATTTGGAGTCTGATCCGAGTATTTTAAAGGTTCGTTTCACTGAAACTGTTCAGCCTGAACCTGTTGGTGGGTAAGCTGATCTGTTCCAACATCTCTGACCTTTTCGTGGAGTCATGACTGGTTCCCACGGTAACAAAGGGGCAGAAACACACTGCTCTTAATGATTCACACACACGCGCACACACACACACACCATTTAGCTGCAGCTCATTATTTTGCTGTTCTGAAGGCGGCTGATTGGACCGCTGGGGTCCGGTTTTCCGGTTAGGAATGATGTAGGAAGACTCGCATTTATTTCCACAACAGGACTAATTCATGAATCCACCACATTACCAAAATGCTCTAACCCTAACTCCCAAAGCCAGTTTACAGATGACTGCAGCTGTTCATTTCCTGTTCCTGTTCCCTATGCTTCCTGCCTGATTCTGTCACAATAAAATAACTGATCAGGCTTTTAATGTGAAAACTGACCCTGTGTGTGTCTGGTGATTCGTAGGCCTGACGACGTCCTGTGGCGCCGGTCTCACGACACCAGCGTCCTGCTGCACTGCATCCTCTGGCCAATGGTGTCACTCCTTCTGGGCACGCTCATTGTGCTCCTGACGGTGTGTGCCCGCTCTCTGGCTGTCAGGGCTGAAGCCCTCCAGAAGAGGAAGTGTTCCTATGAGGTGTGTCAGGACCTATTCATCACAGCCTCAGATCGCCATGGAAACAAGGCTGAAGGCCTTTTAACGATGAACTCTGACCCCGAGCCGTCATCTCCATCACGGACCCTCCCGCTGTTTGCGGTTCCAGTGAGGCGACGCGATCGGGAACACTAAGATGGGAATGAATGGGATTTAAAACAGGGAATTGTTACAGAGTCTGATGATCCAGATTCAGGATGAAGATGAAGAGGAGGGTAAATCCACCCTGCTGCCTTTAGAGAAGCTTCTGCTCTATCTGAGGACCGGAACCGGACCCTCTGAAGGTTCTGGCTGAGTCCACTTTATCCTGGTCCTGGTCTTTATTCTAACCCTAGATTTACACGTTTCATTTAAAGATAAAACCTTCAGTCTGAACCAAAAGTCCCAAAACGGACGACTTCTACTGTTAGTTTGTTGTCTGTAGGATCTGTTGTTGCTATGGTTACACGTTAGTGTTTCCACAGTTCCTCTAAGCACAGCAGAGAGGGAGGGGGAGGAGCCTAATCAGATCTCACAGAGTTCCGCTGTAGGATGTGAGATTTCAGCAAGTCATCCCTACCAGAGTCTAACTCCACTCCCACTTCCTGTTTGAAAAATGCAACAAACGCTGTTAGCTAGCAGACCGAGAGGGCGGAGCCGCTAACAAATACACACACACAGGCTCACAACGACATTGTGACATCATATGGTACCAGCTAACGTTCTAGGGTACCTCTTAGCCAATGGCGATGGCAGATTGAAATTCAAATGCAGTGCAGAGTTTTTACCTTATTTACCTATTTTACCTTATATAGTTTATATAGTTTATCAGAAAAAAAGTAGATTTGGGGTGACTTCCTCTGTAATGTAACTAATTATTTTTCTTTGCTGATTTAGTTTCAGTCGGAACCAACAGGTCCATTTGAAACTGATTCAGGATCAGCTCTAATCAGGAGCTGCATCGTATTTAAAAAAACGCTTTAGTTGAATATTCTGTCAAATTCTGCTTTTATTTTATTAAAGCTGCTACAGCGAATCTACAGAACAAGCTAGGTTTTAAACGCTCACCCTGCCCCTCAGGTATCTTCTCTACTGAGCTTCTGCCAGAACCAGAAAGCCTAAATGCCGGAGGAAACGAGACAACGCTAAACACCAGGCTCCATTTTCTAGGTCCAAACGTCTTTTGTTGTCCATGACTTGAGATGGTGTTTCTTTTTGGGGCTGTGGTAGTCTGGAGCGGTTGCTGCCGGATGTTTGTCCTAACCGAGCGGAGAGCCTCTCACACCCGTGGTGTTCTGCTGCTAAAGCAGATGGTCTTGTGGTTGGTTTTGGTCCCAAACTTGTTATTGATGGAGAATTTTAGTCAAATGTGGGAGAAGCACTTTATTAATGAAGTTTTTCCATCCATGCATCCCCCTCCCCCCTCGCTGCTTATCCGGGTCGCGTCGTGGGGGCAGCAGCCACAGAGAGGCCCAGACTTCCCTCTCCCCAGCTCTTCTGGACAGCTGAGTTCCTCCGGCATGTCCTGGGTTGGATGTGTCCAGAAAACCTTGGGGGCGTCCAGGAGGCGTCCTAACTAGAAGCCCGAGCTCCTCTCGAATGAGTTGTTTGGTTTTTTAATCTCCACAACCGTTAGAACGTTGTTCAGATGCATGAAAACATGTATTTTGTTTCCAGAATGACCATCGCAGCTTTAATCGAGCTTTTGTCTGACCTGATCGTGTCTTTACCTGATAAATCCGGTTCTGAGTTTTTTCTAACTGAACGTTTTGTTCTGATGAACCGGCAGGAATCTGGTTTCATCCTACAGACCAACACGAGAGATGCAACGGCTCTTCCCAGGAGCTCCAGGTGAAGGTGGTGATGGCAGCCATATTTATGCATCTCAGTCAAACGTTTCATTATTGAGGTCAAAATCTCGATCACATTAGTAATTCATGAAGTCCAGATGGTGTTGGACCGGGCCGGACCGCGGGGACTTGGTATTCAGGCTTACTTTGGTTCTGATGGGTCGTTTTACAGATGCTATTCTGACACCGGGGACAGCAGAAACTCTTGTCCAGTAATCGGTAGGTTGCAGGTTCGATCCCACCTCCGGACAGAGAAAGCTGCTGTTGTGTCCTTGGGCAAGACACTTAACCCACCTTGCCTGCTGGTGGTGGTGGTCGGACCGCTGGCGCCAGCCTCGCCTCTGTCAGTGAGCTCCAGGGCAGCTGTAGCTACATCGTAGCTCATCCCCACCAGCGTGTGAATGACTGATTGTGTTGTGAAGCGCCTTGGGGAGGGGAGGGGAGGGGGGGGGGGGGGGTGATCCCTAAGAACAGACCGTTTACCATTTAAACCTGCAGACTTAAACCTGAGCCGATTCTTTTTTAGCTAGAACTCAACGAAAGCTCCCGACCCTTGACCTTTCATCGATGTAGTTTTAACAGGGTGACACAATGAACGGATGAATCCTGGCTGAACAGGTGGAACTGATGTAGCCTCACTGTCTTCCTTTCTCCCTCATGCTTCCAGTTTTGTTCTGGATCTGTTCTTGTGATGTTTACAGAGACCAACGCCTCACCTGAGACGTTCACACAAACCCTAACCCCTTCAGATCTGCTACATTCGACAAAGTTTAAAGCTGTGGCTCCATCTTTAATGATTATCTCTGATTCTAACGGGTCACTCTGAGTGTTTCATGCCGGCTGAACATGAAAATAGTCTCCTACACCTATCTCCTGCAGTAGCTTCTGATAGAAAACAGACGGTGAAACTCTAGTATTAGAAAATCCTGACTGATCTACATCACACTGTCACTAACATTCATGCACTCACCCATCTGACTCACGACGGGGAAGGCTGTTGATGCATTAGCATCCAGAAAACAGCAGAGAACATCTCAGCTAGTAGAAGCTAACTATTAGCATTAGCGACTCCTACTTAGCAACTGTTTTTTGTGGAGATAAAACATCAAACAGAGTCAGTGGTAGAGTTGCGTTAGCCAATCAGAGTAGAGATGTCATCTGAAGCTACTTTCTCCTCTGGCTGAATTCCAATCCCCCGAAACTGGCGCACCAGAGCTTTTTTCCCTCCCAGAGTATGACTTACAAGACATTCATTCCTACTGGAGACCACTGCTGAGGTGTTGATTAAACCAGTGAACCACACCTTTAACTATTTGTTGGTAAAATATTTTAGAATCCATCCAACCCTTCATTTTCCTGACTCACTTTTTCACGCAGGCTCCCCGGGGGGCTGGTGCCCATCTCCAGCTGTCTTCGGCCATGGTACACCCTGGACAGATTGCCAGGCCATCGCAGATATTTTAGAAGGGGAAAGCTTTATTGTCGTACAACAACAATGTGCTGTCGGCTGGTTCACAACTAATGACATCTTTGTAGTTTCATTATAATAAAAACCAACAATAAGAAAGAATAAAATTGGCACTTGTCTCCTGCAGTACTTAAATTCTCCACCAGAGGGACGCCAGAAGAAATATAAAGCAGCTATTTGAGGAACGCACTCATCCTGTTAGTGAAGTAGAGCTCTGAGTGGTGCGGCAGAGCATATGAGACGATTGTTCGGTGTTACGTGTTTTTCTTCATTGGGGTTAGCGGTTGGAATCCCATCAAGTTTTCCCTTCTTGTGGAATTTGTCGTTTAGTTTTACTGAATTATTAAATCCAGCGTAAAACAACATTTTGGTCAGTTTGCTGAAACTTTCTTCTCCGAGTAGAACATGTAGCTTCACCGTAGCACTTTTTATAACCGCAACAGAGCGTTTAGTCGTCTTTCTGTCGGAGGTTTACGACGTTCGATTCAAAGCCATAAGCTGAACTGCTGTAGCATCAAAACGCTGCATTTAGCTTTTTCACTGCAGCAAAGTGTTTTCATGTAAAATAGAAACAGACCTGCACCACTTCCTGTTTTTGTTGGACTGACCGAGCAGCGGTCTGGATCCGGCTGTATTTGCAGGTTCTTTGTCCTCCTCCGTTCCTACGGAACCTCAGAACTGTACCATGTGACCTGGTAGCTGCTTCGCCCGTGTTTTGATGACAAACATCACAACTATTGTGCCTGATAAAGATCTTTAAATAAAAACTCACTTTCTCTGACACTACGAGTCCTTCTTGTGTCTGAAAACATTCTAGATCTAATTTGAATGAATTATTAGTGATTACTGAGGCAACAGAGGCTGAGGTGGACCCTAACCCATGACCTAATCAAGGCTGGGTCATGGGGTTTGGTGCAACGTGAGCTCAAGATCTGACTTCAGACCTAAAAACAAGGATATGCATGAAATAGCCAATCAGAGGCAAGGAAGGCCAGATCTTCCTTGGACATCCTACGATTCCAAATGACGCGCACCAGCTGAGATGCTGGTACGGTGTTATTAGCCTTTTTTTAATGTAAAAACTCTTTTCTATTTCATGTAGACTTAAGCTAGCTTCAGTAATTTGGGGAACTGAAAAACATGGAAACGCTGCTGTACTTCACATCCGTCTGTGTGATTTCCAACAGTGCATCTCAGGTTTCATAGAGGCAAGGAGACTACACCGCACCTGTTCCCAAAATCGGAGACAAAAAGAACGGATTTCAAGTCCGACCTCGCGAGCACACAACCCCCGAATTTGACACAGCCTGCGTTTTCCCTGAGTGGTGAACTTTGACCCTCCTCAGTTGATAGGCAGCAGTTCCCTTGTGTTAACACACGCCTGTATGCTCCAGAGGAGTGGAAGTTCTGATCCATATAGTTCAACTAGTTCCAGCGGTGAGGATCTTTGAAAGAATTAATTCATGCTGATTGTAAACTTTAGGTTTTCTGAGCTGCTGATGGCCGGATTAGTTTTTAAAGAACGAGCTTCTTTAGTTATTCCTCATTAGTTGATCACTTTATGACCCATCAGCTGTTCGGAGCCTCCAGCTGGCCCAGAGGGATTCTGGTTCCTCTTCTCTCTGTTAGCTGCTCTAACTGGGTCACCCAGTTCTGGTCCAGCCTCGCTGTGGCCCAGATCGATATGGAAATCAGAACTTTAGGATCCAGCTCCTCTCTGGTGTTTCTGAATGGTTTACATCAAATCCAGAAAACTTTTACTAACTTCTATTCAGTTCAGAAATGATTTAGACAAAAAGTTAAAGATCTGAATCAGAAACAATCATCAGACAGATTCAGACTTCCTGTTTTTCTGTCCAAAAATACAAAACCAGTCAATAAAACCAGCTGATATGAAACTCAATCATCAGATTTTTATTTTGGTCCATGAACTCACCACCTTGAGGGTTCAGCCCTTTAGTGGGGAAGTTTTCACCTCCAGAACCAGAACTTCATGTTTTCAAACTCAAACACAGAAAACGTTTGAAGCTTCTTTAATAAACAGATTATAATCCAGTTGACATCAATCTGACAGCAGTTTAAAAATCTGTTCAGGCTCTGAGCTGAAAAATCATCTGAAACTCAAAGCTGGTTTTCAAATTTCTACAAAAAACTCAATTACGCTCATTATTATTATGTAATTATACAATTATCAAAAAGTCTCCAATTAAACATAATTTTGTATAAAAAACAGAATAAATTTAAACTCAGAATCTGATAAATAAAATAAAGTTTAAAAAGCTGGAAAGTTTAAAAAGAGATGAAACCATTTCTCTTCAAATGAAAATGATAAGATTATATTCTTGATTCAGACTTAATCACTTTATACCAAAACAGGATGTTAGCTTAACACAGCAGGATGGACTTAATTCCACAAATATAAACCATTACAATATGAAACCAGTAACACATCGATATTTACATACAGCAATGCGTGTTTCACTTAAATAAACAGCTTATGATGACGTGGATCTGACTTTTGTTTCTTAAACATCTCAAATCTTTTTGGGTCAAGTTCTCCAAACAGGGTGGAGGACAACTCCTCCTGAGGTTCTGTTGGATCTGATCAGATGTTTGAGTTCTGAGCATCGTTGTCATTTGGACCGGGGTCACCGGGGACATGGCCCCAGCAATCTCCATCATTGGACATTTTATTTTCGCCACGTTTAAAATCCCGAGGCAGCATCACAATGCTAGCATCTCAAAGCTAGCATAAAAGTGTTGTCTATTAACACCTACTAAGTGTTTCATGTCACGTATAAAACTTTAACTCTGAATGAAAATAAAACTGCGATTAATTTATTTAGTTTAATTTCCAAAATTATAGGAAAAGCGTGGCATGCTGAAAAATCTGTTCCATCCAACCAGTCATCAGTGTGCTGCATCGCTAGCTAGCGCTTTAGCTAACCTGGTGTTAGCTTTAACTTAACCTCAGACAGGTTAAACTGGTCATTTCTAGTCAGTTTTACTCTTGGGGCGTTACTTACAGCACAGATACTGGTTCCAGTTGTTGCTCACGGTGCACGGTGATCCTACGGTGAGAACACAACTTTTATTTATCCAGTAGATCACAGACAGCTCGGCTCCGTCGAGGAAGTGTGGTGTTAACCGAAGCCTGACATGGCTAACCTAGTTATTATTGTTGTTTGGGTATTTTTCTGGTAATTCTCAATTTGTTACACCAAAAATCACAGATAATCAGATTGGCTTCGTACAGACATGTGTACATATACTCTAAAGGAAAATACTTGGTACAGACATGTGTACATATACTCTAAAGGAAAATACTTGGTACAGACATGTGTACGTATACTCTAAAGGAAAATACTTGGTACAGACATGTGTACATATACTCTAAAGGAAAATACTTGGTACAGACATGTGTACATATACTCTAAAGGAGACGGTAACCAAATACAGAAACCAGAACTCCTCAGTCTCTGTGTGCTTCATAGATTCATCCAAGGCATTTGATAGAGGTAACCATAGGAAACTATTCATAAAGTTGTTGCAAAGAGGTGTTCTAAGATATATTGTACACATCCTGGTTTATTGGTATGGTCAACAAATGTGACAGATAAAATGGTGTAAGAGTATCTCAGAGCCATTTAAGGTCAGTAATGGAGTCAGACAAGGAGGCGTTCTATCTCCTCTTCTTTTTAATCTGTACATGGATGACTTATCAGTGAGGTTAAAGGCCAGTAGGACTGGCTGTGCAGCTGGTGGTGATATCATAAATCATCTGATGTATGCAGATAACTTTGTGGTACTAAGTCTCAGGGGTGTGTCCAGGGAGTGGCCTGGGGTAGCACATGCCACCCTTTGAATCTGATTGGCCACCCCAGGTGCCAACACATTAATTTACCTTTAAATAGGCTTTTCATTGTCCACAAAAGGCTTGGGGTAAAACAAAAAAGCATAACCATTGGTGCCACCCATGCATAAAGTTGTGCCTCATCTGGGCCACCCCATTTTAAAAGATCTGGGCATGCCACTGCTAAGTCTGAGCACCGCTGGCCTACAGCAGCTACTAGATATCTGCTGTGACTATGGAGTAGAACACAACATGGTCGGGCCAAGGAGGTCAAGCAAATGAAGTTTCCTGGTTTTTATCTGTCAGACTTCCTGATTAGTGTCACCAAGAAAGTCACACATGTTGGTCATATCATCACAGAGGACATGAGAGGGGATGAAGACACATGTAGGCAGGGTCGTGTGTTATACGCTCAGGGAAATACACTCGCTCGTACGTTTGGGTCTTGTTCTGATAAAGTAAAGATGACCTTGTTGTACACCGCTGTACGGCCCACCTATGGACTAGCTATAACAAACGTAGTATGTTGTCTGTATGTATGTCTGGTTGGGGTCTGGGGTGGTGGGTTGCTTTGCTTGGCGTTGGGTGGGGGAGCCTGCTCATCAGCACCCCAGCAGGAAGGGTTGAACTCTGGGAACCGGTGATGTGCAGCAGGACCGGGACCAGAGTGAATAGGGTGTGTATGGGGAGCATGAGTGGGTGTCTGGAGTGCATTTTTGTAAGTCTTTGGTTGCATGTGTGTGTGTGAGCGTGACGGAGGGAGTGTGCGACTGTGTTTGTGTATGACTGTATATGTCAGGTGGGGTCTTGGACTCCTGCCCTCTCCTGGGACTTTTTGTGCTGCTACACATCTTTGGGGGGCGGATCTGTGGTCCCTCACACTCTCTATTGGACGCTCCTATAGAGAAACCTTACATAAACAAGCGCGTGTGCACACACAGGTGCTCACATGGTGCTCTCATAAGTATGGACTTGGGCACGTTCAACACGTGTCTTAAGGCTGTGGTCGGCACTAAATGCACTGTGGCTTATTATGGTGTGATTGTTGTGTGTTGTTTTTCTCTTACTGCAGATCTAGAAGCAGACTCTTGTTCATCATTGGTAGTTTATTTTTGTGGAACCGCTGTTGAGCACCCTACAAGCTGTTGTGATTGTTCTATCCCAAACCAATACCCGTGCCAGTGCAACACGTTGCCGGTCAAAGATGTGGAAGCACTGCTATAACAGTCGTTTCCTCTTAGATTAGGGAGTTACAATAATTTATACTTTATTTTCACACTATTGTCATTATTGTCTCATTTGTTTATCATGATTATTCGTCTCTTGTGCCTCAGCGTGTTAGACTGTGTTCATTACTACTTCTACGTCTGTGAATTGGACTAGAGTCCGTCATAAAGAACCTGACTTGAACAACTATTTTCCCAGACAATAACAAAAACAGATATCTTGGTTGTGAGGAGCCTGGTCGGATGACGGTACTGACCTGAAGAGAAACCTGACCTGAGTTCTGATCCGAAGGGTTCATTACTGTGTGCACTTCCCTGGATGCAGAGTATGGCTGCGTCCCAATCCAAGAGCGGCATCCTTCCAAGGCCGATTACGTCACAGCAAGGCCGTCCAAATTCAAAGGACACCTTCAATGCGTCCTTGTTCTCCAGATTGGTGAGGATGGGTCTGGTGTGTCCTACTGGCCCAGCTCATTCTAGGATTCTTTGTTCATGTAATGATGTGGGAGAGGATTAGTTAACTTAGTCACTGCCGTTGATGACTAAAGATGTGTTTTTTTAACGAGGCAGGCTGGGCAACGAGCTCGCACACCTTGAGAGTAAACATCTTGGCTCTGAAGTTGATTTTCATCCATGTGTGTCACACATCACGTGATCATGAAGCAGACAACACATGCATTAGGAGATGGTTTTAGGACGCCGCTACGCCTAAAGCGAGACGCGAACCAGGAAAGCTTCTGCAGCTCACACTTCGACAACGGAAAAGCTAGAAACACGCAGATTCTTCCTGATGTAAGAAGTGAGTCTCGTTTTGGTGTTTACGTGATTATTGAGCACAACGTTCTGTGACTCTTCAAAAAACAGGAAAAACGCTCCAAAAGCCGGCAGCCAGGGCTTTTCTGATCCGGAACGGCTGGCAGTGACGGAGTGAATCAATGCCAGTGTGTTTTTGGGTCACTTTTATATTTGTGTTTAAATATATATTTAGTAGTAAATAATCAGTGAAGTCCTGGTAACCCAGCTCGTAGGACGGGTCCCGTTATGGTCGTCATACCGCCAAGTTTGCTGTCAACTTCTGTTTGGCACCATCACCGTTGCTAGGTGACAGCACATATGCTGAGGTAGGGGCGGGAATAAACTGGAAGCTCACTCACTTCCGACCTTGTTGATGGAGGAAGGACCCGGCCTACGTAAACCTGGTAGGACTCAACCTCATAAGGATGCCGCCTCTGGATGTGGACACAGTCTCTGTCACCTCTGACCGGTGTTCTTCCCCGTGAAGAGCTGGTTTCCATAGTAACTGTGGTGTTTCGTCCTTCGGCTTCACGGTTCTGATTTCCTTCCACCCTACGCTGGTGCTAGATGACCAAGACTTTCTCAAGTTACCATATATGGTTTGTTTCCTGTTTGTAGGAATATAAAGGAGCATTATAGAAGTCAGCCAGGATGTTCCAGGAATCACCACTAACTCAGTAAAGCCTGAAGTAAACATCCCTGGTTACTATGGTAACCAACCTCCTGGGCTTTGCTGATGCTGATGAGAACTCTGTGTGAGTTTTGTCTGAAGGAAAAACCTTAAATGAAATCGGATTCTTTTGTTGGTTTATCGATTGAAAAGGAAGCAACATGCTTGTTTGTGTTTGTTGACAACCGTCCTCTCTCCTGATTGGCTGAACTCGTCTGTTTAACGTCCAGTGTAGATAAAATCTGTGGAGACAAAACACAAGCAGATGTGTTTGATTTATTCATCCTGATCTGCTCATTGAAAGAACATTTGTTCATGTGTGTGTGTGTGTGTGTGTGTGTGTGTGTGTGTGTGTGTGTGTGTGTGTGAGTGTGTGTGTGTGTGTGTGTGTGTGTGTGATGCTCACCACGGCAGTACTCGGGGTTGAAGTTCTCGTAGATCGGGTACAGAGGGTTCTCCTGCTCGCTGCGATGCTTTCTAGCTCTTAGGACGTCCCGAACGCACTGGTGCAGGAAGGCGTACTGACACTGTAACACACACACACACACACGCACACACACACACGCACGCACGCGCACACACACACGCACACACACACACACACACACACACACACACACACACACACACACACACACACACACACACACACATGTCAGCATGGGAGGGGGAGGAGCCAACAGCTGGAGCCTATTGCAGTAGGCGGGGCACCTCGGTTTGGACCATGTGCTGACGGTGCAGACGGAGATCGAACACAGTGCCGTACAGGTCGATGGTTCCTTTGGAGTCCAGCTGCTGCAGAACCCGGTCCAGAGCGATGAAGGTCCCAGTGCGACCGACTCCAGCACTGAAACAGAACCAGAACCAAGTTAAAGATCTGTAACCAACCTAGCCCAGAGGAACCACTCGGAGTGTGAATGACCTGCAGTGGACCACGGTGGCTCCGGTACTGGGTGATCGGTCCACGTAGTCCCGGACTGTCCTGACAAACTGGATCAGGGACTGGGTGCTCTCTGGGACTCCGTGGTCGGGCCACACGGTGTAGTGGAAAAGACGCAGAACCCGTGGGTAGCTGCAGCTGCTCTCCTGTTTCATTAGAGACGAGTTCAGACCCAAAGGTTCTGCTTCATGTTACCATCAGCTGTCAGAGACGTGAAGACCAGGTACCGAGGTGATCCTGAACTCCCTGATGGTCCACTCAGGCAGGACGGACTCTGACATCATCTGAAGAACCAGGTCTCCGTAGTACAGTGGCTCTTTGTCTGGGGGCCAGTACTGGTCACACTTCACCTGGAAATCCACAGTGTGTTAGCGTCCTGCAGGAACACGGAGCAGCTTACCCTCCTAATCCCGCCGGAACCAACCCGTCCTTTCTCCATGCACTGCGTCACCATGACAACGTTACTGACACCATGTTCCCACACCATCCTCCAGAAGTCGTCTTTAGTCCCTGGTAACGGACCCTGGGTGGCGATGTACTCCCTGCGATAGTTGTTACCCTGCTGACGACATGTAGGGGTCTCAGAGTGTGTGTGCGCGCATGTGTGTGTGTGTGTGTGTGTGTGTGTGTGTGTGTGTTTATTTACGGGCATGTAGCTGGCGTTGATGTAGTCGGAGCATGGTTCATCCTCCAGGTAGGACAGCTTCACTCTGGTGGAATCGTCTGAAACAGAAACGTGAATCTGAGACGTTCAACAGAGCGCTTGACTCGGATCTGCAGATCGATGGCGGGAGGATAGTCCGACGTTCCTGTCGCTCTGGGTCTGGTTGTGCCGACTCAGGCGACTGCTGCTGTCTTTGTGATTAACCTACAACTCTGAGTTGCCGTAGCACGCGAGGAGCAGCCGGCACAAACGGCCAGGAAACACCTGGTAGGCTGGACGCACCTGTGCGAGACGACACCCGACACACGCAGGAGCCTCGATGATGATGATGAAGATGATGATGAAGATGAGCAACCAAGACCCACCTTTTACCCAGCTCCCGTGTCCTGATGTCCAGGTCTGCTGCTGCTGTGGCAGGTCTTTTAGTCTAGTCTGTCTGGATTCAGTTTGTTTGATTCGTGCCGTTTTAACCGTTTTGCTGTTTGAAAGTTCTGTATAAAAATGATCATTTTCATTCATTCATTCATTCATTCATTCATTCATTCATTCATTCATTCATTCATTCATTCATTCATTCAATCATTCATTCATTCATCTGCAGAAGCAGCACCTGTTCTCTAAGTACACTGGTAAGAAACACATTACTGGTACACATTTTTACTAACATGGCAGGATGTTGTTGTAGCGGTTCTTCCCCCGGTTCTCCGGCAGCCGGGCCACCTCCATGGTCTGGTTCCGACCCACGTCCTTCAGCTCCTACAAGCACCAGGATGTGAGTGAAGTCTGTCTCTGAGGAAAAGTTATTCACTCAAATCCGACCTGCTGTGAACAACCTCTGTTAAGAGAAACAGGGTTTACATCCTTCAGGACTGACAAGCTAACGGCTAGGCTGAGTGATCCGAGGCACTTCCCTGGAGGTCATATGACGTTATTTTGGATTCTGATTCCAGGTCGGATGTCCCGCTGAAAACATCCGTGTTTCCACAAACCACCGGGAATACTGCGCCATTCCTGGTCAGGGCTAATCTGAAGTTTCTCCAAACTGAGGCTGCTCACAACCCCCAAAGGCTCCTTACAATCACTGACTGGTTCGCACACTGATGATGATGAGCTACATGGTAGCCACAGCTGCCCTGGGGCACACCGGCTCCACCGGTACATCCAACCACGCCCAGAAGGCAAGGAGGGAGTGGGTGGAGCTCAAACCTCCAGTCACAGGGCGGGCTCTTAACTCCTCTGCCGGGTTAGTGGGCTTACCTCAAACTCCTCCGACAGCAGGTAGTTGGAGTCGGCCTGGAGTTTGTTCAGGTGGGACTCGAAATGTCCGGCTTTGACGGGGCTGGAGCCAGAGGAGAAGACGCGTTAGCTCAGCGGTTTACATCCTTGTTCTACAGGGTGGAGACACACTCACCTGGTGACGCGGCGGTTACTGGGAGGAAAACAAAACACCGTTAGTTGATGTGTTCAGCTGCATTCATGAAGGTGTCTCATCTAAACATGGATGCTAGCTCATAAAGGCACACATCAGATGTTCAGGAGGGCGTTTCTGTCAACGTCTAACTCGTAGTTAGTAGTTCTGTCAACAGCCTTAGTGTGTAGAAATAGAGATTCGTCATACTGAAGCTCAGAGCTGATCATGTGATCATCAGAAGTCAGGGAATCCATGTAAACCCTGGTTAGTCACCTGTACTAGCTGGTAGAACTAGTTACAGTCAGACATCAGTAGGATGGGCATGTGTGTAACCACCAGTGATGGGAATGACGGCGTTACTAAAAATAGTTCTTTCAGTGACGAGTGATCTAATGAATTACCGTCTACTTTTATCATAACGCCGTTTCCGTTACTGATAAGGAAATGCGTGGTTAGTAATTCAGCAGCGCGGTGTGTTCAAGCTGTCATCAGCTGATCGGGAGCTGAAGAGGCGGATGTTTTCATCCAAGAGCATCTCGGCCATGAAGAACGAGGAAGATGTGATGAATCTACAGCTGCAGACCCGCAGATTCACGGCTGCAGGTGTGGATCTGCAGGTGTGGATCTTGGCGTGACAGCGGGACGTCCCGAAGGTCCGCTCACCTGTTCACCGCTCAGACGTCCTGATCTTCTACCTTCCTAGATCATCCAGCTGTAACCTGTTTCTGATCATGTCTCTAGTCCCGCTGTAACACTGATGCATCAGTCTCAGACGGCATGGAGCTCAGGTGTTATTAGAACTACCTGTGTGTGTTTACCACCCAGCTTCAGCTCTTCTGTGTTTGGGTCTGACCCACGTTAGTAAATGTGAGTCCTCCATCAGGCTTGTGCCTCTTCTAGTGTCATTTTAAAGGATTTTATTTATTTATTTAACCGTTACTAGATTAGCAGCAACAGAAATGTTACTAATAACACACAATTATGTGAAGCTGGAAAAATTAAAATACTGTGCAAAATTACATTTATTTCTGTAATTGTACTAGACTGAGAGACCATCTAAAGGCCCAGGAACCTTTACAGGTGTTTCTATTTGTTGATTGGGCTCTTGTTAAATATCACACAGAGACATTTTAATATTCTAGATTACTGTAATGCTCCTGTTTGTAGTTCCTCCTGTTAAAGGTCCATTTATTTCAGTTATTCAGTTTTATAAAACATGTTACTATGCTCCAGTCATTTATACTCCAGTACTGTAGTCATTTATAGTACCTACCTGCTAGTAAAGGTGACTAACCTGGGCTCAGAGCTTGTTAGCGGTGGACGCTAGTATCACAGCTAGCTGCAGATATTATAGCAATAAAAACATATATTACTAAAGTGGTTCACTTGCATTCGTCTAGAATCCTCCACCACGATTGTCGGTCTCAGCCACAGACATGAATACGTAGACAGCCCAGTGGAGAGAACGTTTAGCTGATTTGTTGTTGCAGCTTTAATGTGATGTTCATAATAAAGTTTAAACTAATAGGACATGATCTCGTTGGCGTTCCGGGGAACAAACCTGAACACACACCACACACACACACACACACACAAACACACACACACACACACACACACACACACACACACACACACACACACACACACGCACGCACGCACACACACACACACACACACACACACACACACACACACACACACACACACACACACACACTCACCTTCTCACTCCCACATACATCCCTGCGGCAGGAACCTCCTTCCACATGCTCATCCTCACCACCGGGTTCTCCTGCACCGCCCTGGAAACACAAACCCGACCACCAGGTGAGCGCTGGTTCCAGACCAGTTGACAGGTTTGTTTGCTGCTGCAGGTGTTTCAGGGTCCAGCATAAACAGGTGGATGTCTGATTCTACTCACACTTTGCGCAGCCTCTGTCGGTAAGCCAGCAGAGAGACAACGGCCACCATCATCCCGATCAGGAACATCCCAGCACTCAGACCCTCCACTACGCCCCCTAGAGGCTCTGATACACAACAGCAAACAGGTTGTTAAAGCCTTGATTCCACCGCCGGGTGTGGAACGAGGTAGCGCGGGTCACCGCCGGGTTTGGGACGAGGTGGAGCGGGTCACCGCTGGGTTTGGGACGAGGTGGAGCGGGTCACCGCCGGGTTTGGGACGAGGTGGAGCGGGTCACCGCTGGGTTTGGGACGAGGTGGAGCGGGTCACCGCTGGGTTTGGGACGAGGTGGAGCGGGTCACCGCTGGGTTTGGAACGAGGTGGAGCGGGTCACCGCCGGGTTTGGGACGAGATGGAGCGGGTCACCGCTGGGTTTGGGACGAGGTGGAGCGGGTCACCGCTGGGTTTGGGACGAGGTGGAGCGGGTCACCGCTGGGTTTGGGACGAGGTGGAGCGGGTCACCGCTGGGTTTGGGACGAGGTGGAGCGGGTCACCGCTGGGTTTGGGACGAGGTGGAGCGGGTCACCGCTGGGTTTGGGACGAGGTGGAGCGGGTCACCGCCGGGTTTGGGACGAGGTGGAGCGGGTCACCGCCAGGTTTGGGAGCGGGTCACCACTGGGTTTAGGACGAGGTAGAGCGGGTCACCGCCGGGTTTGGGAGCGGGTCACCGCTGGGTTTGGGACGGGGCGGAGCGGGTCACCGCCGGGTTTGGGACGAGGTGGAGCGGGTCACCGCTGGGTTTGGGACGAGGTGGAGCGGGTCACCGCCAGGTTTGGGAGCGGGTCACCGCTGGGTTTGGGACGGGGCGGAGCGGGTCACCGCCGGGTTTGGGACGAGGTGGAGCGGGTCACCGCTGGGTTTGGGACGAGGTGGAGCGGGTCACCACTGGGTTTAGGACGAGGTAGAGCGGGTCACCGCCGGGTTTGGGAGCGGGTCACCGCTGGGTTTGGGACGGGGCGGAGCGGGTCACCGCCGGGTTTGGGACGAGGTGGAGCGGGTCACCGCCGGGTTTGGGACGAGGTGGAGCGGGTCACCGCCGGGTTTGGGACGAGGTGGAGCGGGTCACCGCTGGGTTTGGGACGAGGTGGAGCGGGTCACCGCTGGGTTTGGGACGAGGTGGAGCGGGTCACCGCTGGGTTTGGGACGAGGTGGAGCGGGTCACCGCCGGGTTTGGGACGAGGTGGAGCGGGTCACCGCTGGGTTTGGGACGAGGTGGAGCGGGTCACCGCTGGGTTTGGGACGAGGTGGAGCGGGTCACCGCTGGGTTTGGGACGAGGTGGAGCGGGTCACCGCTGGGTTTGGGACGAGGTGGAGCGGGTCACCGCCAGGTTTGGGAGCGGGTCACCACTGGGTTTAGGACGAGGTAGAGCGGGTCACCGCCGGGTTTGGGCGCGGGTCACCGCTGGGTTTGGGACGGGGCGGAGCGGGTCACCGCCGGGTTTGGGACGAGGTGGAGCGGGTCACCGCTGGGTTTGGGACGAGGTGGAGCGGGTCACCGCCAGGTTTGGGAGCGGGTCACCGCTGGGTTTGGGACGGGGCGGAGCGGGTCACCGCCGGGTTTGGGACGAGGTGGAGCGGGTCACCGCTGGGTTTGGGACGAGGTGGAGCGGGTCACCACTGGGTTTAGGACGAGGTAGAGCGGGTCACCGCCGGGTTTGGGAGCGGGTCACCACTGGGTTTGGGACGGGGCGGAGCGGGTCACCGCCGGGTTTGGGACGAGGTGGAGCGGGTCACCGCCGGGTTTGGGACGAGGTGGAGCGGGTCACCGCTGGGTTTGGGACGAGGTGGAGCGGGTCACCGCTGGGTTTGGAACGAGGTGGAGCGGGTCACCGCCGGGTTTGGGACGAGGTGGAGCGGGTCACCGCTGGGTTTGGGACGAGGTGGAGCGGGTCACCGCCGGGTTTGGGACGAGGTGGAGCGGGTCACCGCTGGGTTTGGGACGAGGTGGAGCGGGTCACCGCCGGGTTTGGGAGCGGGTCACCGCTGGGTTTGGGACGGGGCGGAGCGGGTCACCGCCGGGTTTGGGACGAGGTGGAGCGGGTCACCGCCGGGTTTGGGACGAGGTGGAGCGGGTCACCGCTGGGTTTGGGACGAGGTGGAGCGGGTCACCGCTGGGTTTGGAACGAGGTGGAGCGGGTCACCGCCGGGTTTGGGACGAGGTGGAGCGGGTCACCGCTGGGTTTGGGACGAGGTGGAGCGGGTCACCGCCGGGTTTGGGACGAGGTGGAGCGGGTCACCGCCGGGTTTGGGACGAGGTGGAGCGGGTCACCGCCGGGTTTGGGACGAGGTGGAGCGGGTCACCGCTGGGTTTGGGACGAGGTGGAGCGGGTCACCGCTGGGTTTGGGACGAGGTGGAGCGGGTCACCGCCAGGTTTGGGAGCGGGTCACCGCCGGGTTTGGGACGAGGTGGAGCGGGTCACCACTGGGTTTGGGACGAGGTGGAGCGGGTCACCGCTGGGTTTGGGACGAGGTGGAGCGGGTCACCGCCGGGTTTGGGACGAGGTGGAGCGGGTCACCGCCGGGTTTGGGACGAGGTGGAGCGGGTCACCGCCGGGTTTGGGACGAGGTGGAGCGGGTCACCGCTGGGTTTGGGACGAGGTGGAGCGGGTCACCGCCGGGTTTGGGACGAGGTGGAGCGGGTCACCGCTGGGTTTGGGACGAGGTGGAGAGGGTCACCGCCGGGTTTGGGACGAGGTGGAGCGGGTCACCACTGGGTTTGGGACGAGGTGGAGAGGGTCACCGCCGGGTTTGGGACGAGGTGGAGAGGGTCACCGCTGGGTTTGGGACGAGGTGGAGCGGGTCACCGCCGGGTTTGGGACGAGGTGGAGCGGGTCACCGCTGGGTTTGGGACGAGGTGGAGAGGGTCACTGCCGGGTTTGGGACGAGGTGGAGCGGGTCACCACTGGGTTTGGGACGAGGTGGAGAGGGTCACCGCCGGGTTTGGGACGAGGTGGAGCGGGTCACCGCCGGGTTTGGGACGAGGTGGAGCGGGTCACCGCTGGGTTTGGGACGAGGTGGAGCGGGTCACCGCCGGGTTTGGGAGCGGGTCACCACGAAAGTGCCGGTAGTGATGCAGTCTGGCTGCGTGGACTGGTTTTACAAGCGGGACAGAAAAATTAGTGAGCCGGCACTCCCTGTCCCAGCCCAAACCCGGCAGTAAAACCAAGCTCTATGGCAGCCTATTGGGGTCATTTTTAGGAAATCATTAGGAATTAAGGAGAATTGTAGCGTAGGAACCAGTTTTAATCATTTAAAAATACCAGTAAAACAAAAAAGGACCAATTTTAAACTTTTTACTTTAAATTGATCATTTTAGTAATTGTTATGCCTTCAATCACAATTAGTTTGGTCATTCATCTCATTTAGCCCCATTCCATGTTTGTGATGAACTCCTACAGGTCTAACAGCTGGTTTTCCTTTAACTAGGCGGGGTTCTCACCTGAGTGCGTCCTGAGGGGCGGAGACAGGTACGTGTCTGAGAACAGGGGCTGAGAGACCTCCCTGTTGCTCTCGAACAGTTTGGTGAAGGCCCGGATGCTCAGCCTACACACACACACACACACACACACACACACACACACACACACACACACGCACGCACACACATGCACACACACACGCACCTAGTTGTAGTGTTTGCTTAAATCTCACCTGTGTGTGTGTGTGTGTGTGTGTGTGTGTGTGTGTGTGTGTGTGTGTGTGTGTGTGTGTGTGTGTGAACATACTTACCTGTAAGACGTTTTAGCTCTCAGCGGCCCGTCACAGAAGCGTCCGTAGCTCTCCCTCTGGTAAAGGTCATCGTCATGGTAACGATCACAAGCTCCGCCCAGCCTATCTCCTCCTGCACCCAGGTTCACCTCCACCACCTGATCATTTAGTAGAAAATACAGGTGCTGGCCAGTAAATTAGAATATCATCAAAAGGTTGAAAATATTTCAGTAATTCCATTCAAAACGTGAAACTTGTACATTATATTCATGCAATGCACACAGACCAATGTATTTCCAATGTTCATTACATTTAAATTTGATATTCATAAGTGACAACTAACGAAAACTCCAAATTTGGTATCTCAAAAAATTAGAATATTCTGAAAAGGCTGAATATAGAAGACACCTGCTGCCACTCTAATCAGCTGATTTACTCAAAACACCTGCAAAGGCCTTTAAAAGGTCCCTCAGTCTTGTTTTGAAGGCACCACAATCATGGGGAAGACTTATGACTTAACAGCTGTCCAAAAGACAATCATTGACACCTTGCACAAGGAGGGCAAGACACAAAAGGTGATTGCTAAAGAAGCTGGCTGTTCGCAGAGCTCTGTGTCCAAGCACATTAACAGATAGGCGAAGGGACGGAAAAAATGTGGTAGAAAAAAGTGTACAAGCTCTAGGGATAACCGCACCCTGCAGAGAATTGTGACGACAAACCCATTCAAAAATGTGGGGGAGATCCACAAAGAGTGGACTGCAGCTGGAGTCAGCGCTTCAAGAACCACCACGAGGAGACTCATGAAAGACATGGGATTCAGGTGTCGCATTCCGTGTGTCAAGCCACTCCTGAACAAGAAACAGCGCAAGAAGCGTCTCGCCTGGGCCAAGGACAAAAAGGACTGGACTGATGCTGAGTGGTCCAAAGTTATGTTTTCTGATGAAAGCAAGTTCTGCATTTCCTTTGGAAATCAAGGACCCAGAGTCTGGAGGAAGAGCGGAGAAGCACAGAATCCACGTTGCATGAGGTCCAGTGTAAAGTTTCCACCGTCAGTGATGGTGTGGGGTGCCATGTCATCTGCCGGTGTTGGCCCACTCTGTTTCCTGAGGTCCAGGGTCAATGCAGCCGTCTACCAGGAAGTTTTAGAGCACTTCATGCTTCCTGCTGCTGACCAACTTTATGGGGATGCAGACTTCACCTTTCAACAGGACTTGGCACCTGCACACAGTGCCAAAACCACCAGCACCTGGTTCAAGGACCATGGTATCCCTGTCCTTGATTGGCCAGCAAACTCGCCTGACCTTAACCCCATAGAAAATCTATGGGGTATTGTGAAGCGGAGGATGCAATACGCTAGACCCAACAATGCAGAGGAGCTGAAGACGACTATCAGAGCAACCTGGGCTCTCATAACACCTGAGCAGTGCCACAGACTGATCGAGTCCATGCCACGCCGCATTACTGCAGTTATTGAGGCAAAAGGAGCCCCGACTAAGTATTGAGTGCTATACATGCACATTCTTTTCATGTTCATTCTTTTCAGTTGGCCAACATTAGAGAAACAAACATTTTTTCATTGGCCTTTAGAATATTCTAATTTTCTGAGATACAAGATTTGATGTTTTCATTAGTTGTCACCTATAAATATCAAAATTAAACGTAATAAACATCGGAAATACACTGATCTGTGTGCATTGCATGAATATAATGTACAAGTTTCACGTTTTGAATGGAATTACTGAAATATTTTCAACCTTTTGATGATATTCTAATTTACTGGCCAGCACCTGTAGAATTGACTTTTGTTAACACCTGTCTCACATGTCTCACCTGTCCTAGCCCATCTGACCTGTCTCACCTGTCCTGAACTGTCTGACCTGTCCTGACCTGTCTCACCTGTCCTAACCCATCTCACCTGTCCTGACCTGTCTTACCTGTCCTTACCTCTCTCACTTGTCTCACGTGTCCTGACCTGTCTCACCTGTCCTAGCCCATCTGACCTGTCTCACCTGTCTTAACCCATCTCACCTGTCTCACATGTCCTGACCTGTCTCACCTGTGGTAGCCTATCTGAACTGTCTCACCTGTCCTGAACTGTCTCACGTGCCTCACCTGTCCTGACCTGTCTCACCTGTCTTAAACCCATCTCACCTGTCCTGACATGTCTCACCTGTCCTAACCCTTCTCACCTGTCCTGACCTGTCTTACCTGTCCTTACCTCTCTCACCTGTCTCACGTGTCCTGACCTGTCTCACCTGTCCTAGCCCATCTGACCTGTCTCACCTGTCTCACATTTCCTGAACCATCTCACCTGTCCTGACCTGTCTTACCTGTCTCACCTGCATGAAACACTCGAACCTGCTGTTGGTTTTATCATCTATGCCGTTAGGGGGTGCACGAGGTGAAAAGTGTAATGGCTGCGGAGCTCAGAGAAGTCTGTCAAAAGTCACCAGCCAGAAACTCATTTGTGGGTGGGCCTAAGAAAATGTAAGTGGGCCCAATTGAAAACAAGTATATTTTGCTTGTGTGTGTGTGTGTGTGTGTGTGTGTGTGTGTGTGTGTGTGTGTGTGTGTGTGTGTGTGTGTGTGTGTGTGTGTGTGTGTGTGTGTGTGTGTGTGTGTGTGTGTGTCCTCCGCACATGCCCTAGCTCAGGGGTCAGCAACCCGCGGCTCTGGAGCCGCATGCGGCTCTTCCATCCATCTGATGCGGCTCTCTGTGCTTGTAAAATAATGAATGGATATTTAAATAAAATGCTTTATATTTTACTGCATTAGTTTTACACCTGTATGCTAATTCTATGTAAAGATTGTCTGCGTAAACCTGAACAGGTCCAACCCGGTCTGTGTGACCGGGTTGACGCGTCACGCTTGTGCGTAATCATAGGCGCTTTCTGAGCTGAAGATGATGTGAGATTCTGGGACTCTCCTCAGACGGCTCCTGGATGTGTCGCCACATTGGAGACAGGAACAAGCACTATTCAGCCAAAGTTTCATCATCAGGAAACATTTTCTAAGTGACAAGTCTCTCTGAGAGACCGGGGTTGGAAAACTCTTGCGTCAGTGGGAGGAACCTTCCTGCATGCGCTCTGGTTCTGCAACGCGCTCCAAGCCCCTCTCAACATCTTCAGCTCGCTGTGGACCTTATGTAGTACACGCTGACAGTGAGCTGCGCTGAGCAGTGTCCAGCTCAGATGTTCAGAAGGAAATCTTTTCTTGAGTGATTTATCTACATCTGCGATGTGCGTAGAATAAAATGTCAGTTCGTCTGCATGCGTCGGGGTAATTCTTTCTATTCTTTCTCCGTCAAAATAAACGGTCAAATATGGGAACTGTCCGGTCAACACAAGCCCTGCTTTTAACTGTTCTGTTTTTTTGTGAAAATTGTTACAAATTAAACTTGATTAACACCAGAGGCAGGCGTACTGCGCCGTTATCTCCGTCGCTGTAAATGAGGGTAAAACAAAATGATCGGATCCTTTTCTGACCTTCCCCACCTACAAAGTTTAATTACAACAATCAAACGTGACAGAGCCTGGATTTGTATTCTGAACAGTCTAAACATGTTTTAAAAAGAAACGTATGACAAAAGTGGCACCTGCTCAGTAAAACCACCAACAGGGTGAAAAATATCTAAATACTGTAGGCAGAGACGGGCTACAACTTCTGGATCCACTTTATATAAATCGTTTTATTGATTATCGTCTCATGAAAGATAACTTTGACGTACACGAGCGACCGGTACCGGCTGCTGTCACCTGTTGTGAGCAGCGCTCTGCTGTCTGAGGGTAGGCCCCGCCCACAACGCCGCGGCTGCTGAGGTGTTTTCTTTACTGTGGGAAACGGGTAATAATGGCTCTTTGATGGGAACAGGTTGCCGACCCTGGTTTAGCGCGACGTCTGATATATATATATATATATATATATATATATATATATATATATATATATATATATATATATATATATATATATATATATATATATATATATATATATATATATATATATATATAGCCATGCCCTGATGTGTGGCTGGGGGGTGCGTCAACATGGTCGGGACATAGAAGGGGGTGTGCGGCTAAATAAGTTTGGGAACCACTGATCTATATAATAAATCTAAATATTTCATCTGTTTCTGATGCAGATACTATATGCTGGGTCTCCTCTCATAAAAAAGAGAAACTAAATCATTTTTGTTCACTAACATCAGATATCTCCTATCATGCTGACATTTAAACATTTTCTGTGTGAAATGACAACTGTCCCTGCATGGATCAAAATGTCCAGATCTTCATCCAAGAGCAGGGATCGAGTTATGGGGGCTAGATATCTTTCAGGGAAAATTCCAGTTTCTGCCTATATTCCTGTAACGTCACGAATGGCCTGATTTTGAGATCCCACAGGTCAAATGCACAGCCACGTCAACTTACCCTGGCTATGATACATCCTACAGCATCTTTTCCCCTCACAGCAGACTGGGAGTCTACACGTAGTCCCTTTAATCACAGCCTGCTTCCTGACACAAGCTGGACTGCAGCTTTGAGAGATAATAAATCATAAACAATAACCTTCTCCTCCAAGGTCCATCACGGAGAAACTCTTTAAAATAAACTCCTTTATTCGAAGAAAGAAGATTTTATAATTAAAAATAATCATTGAATGAAGTTTTGTTATTGCTGATTATAAATAATGAAATGTTCATTGATCTGTGCTTAATGATATATGCTTAGCATGTTTATTGGATGAGGTCATCAACATTTGCACTCACACAAGGACAGAGTAAGTTAAGTTAACGCATGACACATGGTTAACCTTCTGCCTAGATTTGGCGTCTCCATCACAGAGGGTGTGTCTCTGAGATGCTTGGTAACATCCTCAAACGTGCCATATTTGTTTGGCTATTCAAGATAACATCAATCCATTAAAACTAGTTACTCTGGTTTTTCCCTCAGTTCAACGTGAGTTTAAGTTGAGTTCGAACAGCTCAACAGTTCGAGTGTTTTTAGAGGGAAAGCTTTAGACCGGCCATCTTTAGCACCTCTCTAACCAGAAAGAGTTTGACACGTCGTCAAAACCTTTAACCTTTTTCGCACCTGCGAAGCTAACCAACAAGATAGTTTCCTGCAGAACAAAGCTGACTCAAAACTCCTTCAGAGTT